GTGGGAAGAGATGAGCAATAAAACACAGAGTCGAGGCAGTCAATCTGCTAATGAGACCACACATGAGCATGCCTCTTCTAGTAATCTGGTAAAACATAAATGAGGCCATGACGCACAGTCAGTAGTGGCTCAATTAAATGTTGCATTTTCCAGGTGTTCAAATTACTCTCAATTGCTCTCAATTGCTCAGACAAATCCACTCGCCTAAAAACACTTTAAAATGTTGCACTAAAAAAAGGAAGCTGATTGATAGACCTCTTGGCACTCTGTTTAGCAACGCTTTCATTAATGTTTTGTTTTTCTTCAATTATCTCACCAGAATCATGTGGAAATAGACATCATCCCTCAGTCCACCATGGGCTGCCTGGATGGTCATCAGCAAGTCGCATAGGGGTAGAAAGGCAAAGAACTTTGGCAGTCAAGCGCCTAACTTGAGGTGCCACCCAACTGATGGGACCTGTAGCTCCGAGACAGGTGTCTCACACAGTCCAAGTGAAGTTTTTAACCACTCCGCAATGGGAACCCAAAAAAGTAGCATGGTGAGAAGAAAACCGTCAAAGCCAGCTACTCTGTTGAACTACTTTGCAGCCAAAGCCTGATACTTTCTAGTATTGCCTTAGTTCATGAGCTATGGGAGAAAACATGAAAATTTAAAGTTTTTACCTCAGATTTTCATGATTGATGTCACACCCAATCCAGACTGGTAGTTAAATTTGCTATATAACCTGGGATGGACACAGTTGTAATGGTGTGGAGATTTAGGGTTAAAGAGTTGCTGCATAAAGGGTTGCTGCAACATCTGCTTATCTGCTGCCAGGAAACACAGAGCAGAAGGTTCCTGTTTGATCTGCATGATGACTTCATTTACTGTGACTTTTCTTTTTGCTGCTGTTAAATTACTTCCTTTCACGATCTTTTGCACATGGCAGTTGTTTACTACTGCGCTCGCCAAAAGCATCACATTCTGCAAGTTCAACACCTTCTGTGTAATAATTTTCTGTTAAATGCTTTATACCTTCTCTTTCCACATTTTTAGCCAAAATCTTTGGGTTTGAACCTAGTTCAAAGAATTTATCTGCATTACAGAAAGTGCTATGGGATTTTATTAAGATTAACAGTTTTTAATCCCTAGTGGTTGGCCAAATTCCAGTTTATCTTATTGCATTCCTCTGAATTAAAATTCTCCCCAAAGCTCCAGTGGGTAAAGTGTGCTTCCTGCCATGAAGTGCTGTGTCATATTGCTGGGTCTCATTCATCACTCTCATTATACCCACTAGTGTCTGGGTTTCCTCAGGGCCCATCAGGAGCTTTGCAAATTGTGGTGTTATTTGAGTATGCACATCACTTCCCTTCTCCCCTTCCTCTTCTCTCCCCTCAGGTATCATTTCTCTCTTCTCTTGAAATCTCTAGTCAAAACCTGTCTAGATCCATAATTCCTGTTTTTTTACTCCTCACTCAGGAGGAAAAACCTGGAAGTGGCTGCAGAAGGTAACCTGCCAGGTAAAAGAGCTAGGAGATGGGCTCAACCTCCACTGAGCATGTTCCTATATATTACCCCAGGCTCCACGCCTGGAGAACACGTTTATAAAAGGTGGAATTGTTCTATCCTAGGGTTGCAGTACTACATTTACTTCAACTACTATTTTTGAAAATTCTTCTTCATAAAGTCTCATGATAGGGGCTTAAAATCTGAATGTCATGAATAGTTTGATGAGCGTCTCAGGATAATGAGTCTTCTCAGAAAGACCTGTGGATATTCCAATGAAAAGATAGTGGACCTACTGAAATAATTAGGATGGCTTTCTATTACTTCTGCGTCCTTTGATAGTAAGATTTTTCTTTGAGATTAGATCTGGAAGGCCTTTCCTGGGTAAGGAAGTATTATGCTCAAGCTTGAAATGCTCATTGCAAACCCTGAGTGCTTCCATGTATCTAATTGCCCACACGAATTGTTTGTTTCTGTTTCTTTGACGTATTGGATGTGTGAGGGTTTTTCTGACGGTAGTTTTGCTATTCATTTATATTCTTAACAAGGATGTACTTAGGACTGAAAGTAAGTTGTTTTTATTCTGCATTTTCAGACTCACCAGTGGTGGGGAGACCTTGTTCTTACTGCTCTCCAGACAAGGATTCAAGAGATCTGGATCCATTTGAGTTTTTCTTCAGCTCTGTACAGAATTTCTGCAATGACTGTCAGCAACGAGTTTCAACTTTTCTCCTTGTAATGTGAATAATACTACTTAACTAGCTCTCTGTTGTGTCTGCTGCAGCTTAGCTCTTGCACTGCGCTCTCTGAGGGGGTCAAGAGATCAGTGCAACATGAGGACCCTGGGCCACAAACAATTGCTGCAGGGAATGCATGTCTCTCCTCCGGTGTAAGTCATTCCAGGCACAACAGAGCTGCTTGGATGCTGCTTGTGTTAGCATTGTGTTACATGCTAACACAACAAAAATAATAAGAGAACATTTAGGCAAGTGTCAGTCTAAGTACTTGACTCACTCTGCTAAGGTGTTAACCAACTGAAAGTTTTTAGGTAGCTTTGCTTTCCAGTGCAATGCAAGGATTGGGAACATGTTCTCTGTCAGACCATAACAATTGTAAGAAGTTCAAATTTTAAGCTGGTATGGTCTATCATTTATGCATTTTAGTTTGTTTTTATTTTTTTAATCAAGATTTTTCCTTCTACTAAATAAAACTAAAAGTTTTTTATGCAGCTTTTATGTATGCATTCAGATGTCAGTGTTAAGTTTATCTTTCCAGGCAAGCCTCTATGATTTATATAACTCTGTCAGGATATGTTTTAACAAAACATCTTTTATAAAGGAAAAAGATTCGTGCTTCTGAGCACTATTTTATTGAGACTTCACAAGTTTACAAGTTTAGTATTCACTCATGAAATGTGACTGAAGAAGAAGCAGCCGCTTTCCTGGAGCTATGCCTCAGAGATCTGTTCTTACTGGACAGTTTAGAGACTGACCCACAAAACTGGTGTCATTAATGTAGTGCTCCATCTATGAATGAAAATTACTCTTGTGACAGCTATTCACTAAGGCTAGACTAGGCTTTAAAAACATAATTAATTTAACCCTGTGCTTTAGAAATGAAGGTGGTCTGGCTTTTAATTTCCTGTAACTAATACAAAGTAGGAATGCAAAGAAAATGGAAACAGACCTCAATGAACAAACTTGCTTCTGATTCTTTGTCCTGCAGCTGCCTTAAAGGCTTTGTTTCAATTATAGCTGAAATATATTTAAGCAAGCAATTTCTTTTGGAATTAAGAGAAAGCAAAACCTTTTCTTGTGTGATTGATTGTCTAGCGAGCTTCCACATGAGCTTTGTGTCTTATTCCTTGAGCAGTGCTCTGCAGTGGGAAGCGCTGAAAAGAAAAATCAGAGGGCATTGCTGCAAGAGGTGTCATGTCTGCAGCAGAATTGGTAGAGGTTTGTTTCCCAAGTTGGTAAACCATAGTAGCTGAGTTACTCCATCACCTTTCTGTGCAATATCCAGAGCATGGGAGGCCTATGAGACAGAGAAATTCCTACCTGGATGAGGCTTTCTTCTCTGCCAGATGAACTCCCTGAGTTTTAGTGAGGATCTTGTATTCATTTACTCTAGCCATCTGGAAGAGAACGGTGGTGGACATAAATACAACTGTTTCTGAGGAACTGCCATAATTAGCTCATAAAGGAAGGGTGATGCTCTTTTGGAAGGCGTTAAAAAACTTTCCGTAATGGAAAATATCTCCCCCAGGGAGGTTTGGATAAAGTTCCAGTTAAGATATTGTATCCACCTATAAAGGAGTCACAGAAGCCTCTGTAAAGAAATTCCAGAATAGGCCTAACTGTGATAGAAAGCCGATGCTGAGGTTTTACATTTGAATTACTAGTGAACTGAAAATCCAGGAAAGATGGGAATATTGCACTAAATCTGGCAGGCCTCATTTTTCAAAGCACTACGTCATCTTATGCTGCATAACACTGTCCTTCAGGTATTTTTCTGTAAGGGTGGAAGACCATGCCCTGGTGTTCGATACCGTTTGTAGCATAACAGGGACTTGGAGGAATTATGTGAAAGGGGATCATATAAAGTGTTTATGAGTATAAGCCGCAAATATTTTAAGGGACTGTGCGCAGAAGGCTACCAGTGGCTGAAAAACTGGAGTTTCTGTCAGAAACTGTTGGCAGAGACAAGGTCAGCATTAAAGATTAAAGGTCTGGCAAAACTAGTACAGATCCTGTATTGTGTATACTCAGTTTCCCTAATAATTGAAGGAAACAGGCTGGAAGCTGTTCTCAGAAAGAGGCTGAAAGAACATTTAATTCCCCTGAACACTAATTCCTGTGGACTGTTAGGGACCCTGACATCTCTTAGAAAAGGGGAAAAGAGATTTCCAAATTTCTAAAGTGCCAAGTAGGGATATAAGACATGCTGCAGTGATTTGCGTGCAGAGTAATAAAATTCCAGGCGCATTAAGAAGTCAAAACGGAGATATAATGAAGGAATGGATAACAATTTGTGTTAAATCTAAGAAAGTAGAAACTTGCTCCAAGGCGCTGTGTTTGGCACCGCAACATTTTGAGTGTCAGGGAGGTTTTAGCTGCCATGGCAACATACCCTACTGGAGAGGGTAGGCGAGCGCAAGGGGAAAGGAAGAAGAATTTATAGTTAATACTTTCTCAGTTTGTGTAATTAAATCTCCCAAGTTAGCAGACCACGCAGGGTTTATGACCACCCTAATTTCAAACGACTGCGCTCGGCACTAGCCGCATTAGCCACATGCTTTACCATGACACGAACTTGCAAATTAATGTTGCCTTTTCAATTGCCATAACCTTGTGGCGGAGAAACACAGGGCTGGAATGAAGAGGAAGTTTGCAACGTTTCCCTTTCATTTTGGCCAAGTACATGACTGACTCTCCAAAGCAATTCTGTCCTGTCCTTTTAACAGACCTTTTCAGCCTGGTTTTACATTATGTTGAAAGGGACTTCTGGGGAGCAGGGTTAACTGGGAGTACTGAGAAATACCAGTGTCTAGGTGGGAAAGCTCTGTGATAACTTGTTCCCTCTGCATCCTAACCTCTTCCCTCTCCCTCCCAATCCAGTTTTGGGTTTTTTGTCTTTTTTTTTTTTTCTTCTGGTCTGCTCTCCCTTGAAGTCTTTCGTTTCCTAGGAATGAGCAATTAAGAAGATGAGGATTATATTTTTTTTTCTCTTAACAAAGCTTTGTCACGTGCCCAATCCAACTTGCAGCAAGTTGCAAAGAAAAATATCGCCAGGAGGGTTTAGCTGCTCTTCAGTGTTTCAAAGTTCGGCACTCGGCGTCTTTGCTTTGCCCGTGTGCCCGGTGTTCCACAGTCTATAGGAGGGGAGAAAGGAAGGGAAAAAGTGACGAGGTGGGGGAGGAGGATGGGGGGGATAAGCACAGAGCGGTGAGGCGAAACAAGAGACAGCGGTTCCCCCACCCCTGTGTTTCTTTCTTTCTCTACCTCCAGTATAAGAGGTGCCTTCCCTAGATTGGGTAATTTCGAAGAGGTGGGTTTTTTCCCCCCTCAAACTTTTCCCAGTTCTAAGTTGGGACCAGGGTGCGTGCATGCATGTATGGGTATAAGCGGTAGAGGGAGCTTACCCACGCAAACTGGTAGGCACCATCCCTGGGGATTGCTGCTGCCAGGTAAGATTTGTTTTTTTCTTCTTCTCTTTCTCCATGTCCCTTTTAGAGAGGATGTGCTTTAGCTGGGCTCGTCTGGTCCACTTTCTCTGCACAGGTCTCCCGTTTCCCCCCACCCCCCGTCTAGCAAATGCCGCTCCCGTGTCTGCAGGCTGACACATGATGAAGGCACCTCTAAGGAGGCTTATTGCGAAGCAGATATGCTTCCAGTGGTGGGAAGGACTTTCCTCAATGCCTGGAGCGTGCACGAGTTTAGGGGCTCTTAGGGAATTGCCCGTTTGTCTCCCAGCTCACTGTGTGCCTGCTCAGAGACCTTCTCCAGACCGGACCCTAAGGCACAGCCCCGCATCCCCACTGCGGCCACATCCCCACTGCGGCCACAGAGGCGCCACGGAGGCAACACGGGAGCTGCAGGGCGGCCGAGGCAAGGGGTGCTTTTAATGAAGGCAGACATGCAAGGAGGGGGTCAGCGCACCCCAGTGCAGGGACAGAGGACTGTGGTAGGTGCATGGCCAGCCAGCAGGCAGCAGATGCATGGCCTGTATTTAAGAGCTTGCAGCAGGTGTGACAAAGTTCGGAAGGATCCCCTCACTTCAGGGCATTGAATTCAGTGTCTTGCTTTCCTGTTAGTATAACTGGTGGCCAAAGTCTACCCATTGCATTTATTAATTTCAGTACTCCCAGTCAAGGCAAGTTTAAGGTGAAACTCATTTGGTGAGATTTGATTCTTCATAAGTGTGGTAAACACCACGTTCTTCCCTCCCTTGTGTTTGCAGAGGTTAAAATGTCTCTGGTTTGCTTTAACCCTGTCCAAAAGAATCTCTGCTATTACAGGCACGACTGGTAGTACAGCCTACACTAACAGAATTAGACTCTGTTTTCAGTTATGTACCTACTCTGCCCTGAGAATTATGGAGTCGAGCAGCAATAAACAAGAAAATGATTTTTCTAAAAGAGCAAATAACCTCATACAGTGCTTTCTTCAAATGCTTGCTCTCTTAATCCCTAGTAAAAGTTACCATATTGACTTAGAACAACTAAGCCCATGGGCACTCCATTGATTAAATATCTTCAGAGATCTTTGAAGATTTCAATGTGCTATATAAGCTTCAGAAGATGCTACCTGTAATTAGGAAACACTGTTTAAATGGTGTATGGTTGCAAGAAGAGAAAATATAGCATCTAAGCCTTCAAGTTGTACTATTTATGCCCTAATATATTTGGTTTTATTCTCACCATTTCATTATTTGCTTGTATAAGAGCTGAATATCTTTGCTGCCACAAAACCTGCATTTTGGAAGATCTTGGAGATTGTGTGCAGGTTTAATAATAAACACTGATAAAACCAATTAACATATTTTGATTAGGCAAATACTATATGGTAAAGATACACACTTAAGTAACAGGTACATTTAAATCTTGTGCAGAGATAACTGCTGCACGATATTATCTTCAGACAGACAGAATGCACTAAATCCATATGATTACAATCTTTCAGTTAGGCGTTCGTCTTCGCACGGATTTAGCTTAAGAAATGTTTGTGTGTATGTGTAGGTATCCACGTACAGCCATTTCTGCAGTCATACATGTGCTAACAGCTTACATAAAGAATTCGTAACTATAAATGTTTCAACAGTGTGTGCATGCACATACGTATACGCAAGGAGAGATGCACAGAGATGGCTAGATATGGAAGGCTTGAACTGAGCACTGTGACATGGTGGGCTGAATTTGGCTGAGAGTTTTTCAAGGGATGTGAGGTGACCGTCTTTAGCTTATTCTTTTAAATGCAAAGTGCAAGACAGAAAACATACAACCAGATGGGTCTGTCCCCCAACATGAAGTGCTGCATGCCAATCTCTGATTCTCTGTCATTGTCAGCCAAATTGGACCAGTAACCTCATCTCTGTGAAATGTTATTTATGCCAGTACTTAGGATTATGTTTCATCAGTGTTCCTGCCACCTCTAGGGAGGAAAAGCCGGCCCTGGCTGCCTGGAGATATATGGTAGCCAAGATAAGGTGAAAAGCTAAGACTGTCTCTATAATGAAGTCAGTTAAGGAGCATCCATAACGGTCAGGTATCTCCCAGTATTGCAACAGAGCTCTCTGAGCTCCCAGAGCAGTTGGAAGTGTGTTATAAATGCTTCCAGTATAATACCAATGGCACCAAAAAGTGTTTGAGAGGCACTGAAACACTCAAGTGAAACACTCATTGCAAAAAAGAGGAACGCTTAGAGCTAGTGCTGCAGTGGCCTGCGATGCTGCCGAGCACATTGCACTGCCCTCTGGCTTAGGCTGAGTTTCCCACAGAGGCCTTATCTGGGCAACTGAACCAAGGCTCTCATGTACGTGGCTTTAGGTTGCTCTCGGATGGAAAACTCCTGTCCTCTGTAAAGCCGTGCCATGGGAACAACCATGAGGACAATAAAACCTGTACAACTTGTATAGTTATCAGGCCTTCCTGGTATGCCTCCATCTGACATCTGGAATCAGATTTTAAATGGTGTTATTTCCTATACTGTGCTTAGCCTGTAGAGTATAAGTCTTGTCTGAACATGGCTACCCATTCTCTGTCCATCTGAGAAGTGCCCCAGTTCAGTGTGACCAGGATTTACGTGTTGCTCTCCAGTACTGGTGTGTCGTACTCCATCTCCACATCTCTGTGGCATTTTGAGGGGTCAAACCTGTATATGGAGTTCAGGGAAGAAGACTGTGCAGCTCTGCTCCGCTGCTGGACTTTCCCAAGTTGGGTGTTGGTTACTCAAACATAAGCACAATGCACCTGAGGAAGGGTGGGGCTGCTTTTGTTGAAAAATTTTCCTTGTCAGGGTTTTTATTTTTCATTCTTAAATTGCTATGGTAATAAAGTGCTCAGCATTTCAAACCTTGAGCTAAAGGCTATCTATCTCGTGTATTTACATGTTGTCATACCTTATGTGAGTTTTCATGCCCATATGCACAAATTTGAATGAATTTATCCTCACTCTGCTCTCAGAGTGCTCTGAGATACGTGCTGCCGTTCCCCATTGCATGGCTTAAGAAGTGGAGCGTGGAGAGAAAACATAATTATTTTTCCCAAGATTACAAAAAGTCATCAGCAGGGCAGGAGTAGTTTACAAGTTTTCTGCAGTTTGCACAAGCCGTCCTTCTTTTGCTATTGTTGGTCTTACGAACATCTGTATACTCAATAGCGCTAGTACGAAAATGCACTATAGTCCCTGACGCAGCAGTGTCAGATTCAAATATTTCTCATATATGGAGTCAGTAATTTTTGTTCTATTTTATGTGATGGACAGGTCTCAGTGAGATTGTTGGTACCTTATTCTTAGCCACAGACTTTTTACTAGAGCCTAGAGCCTAAGCAAGTATTTGCATGAGCAAATATTAGCATCTAGATATACTTTTGTTAAATATAATTGATTACATCAAATTTTACGTTCTGGAAACTCAAGTACCTGCTGCATGGACCCTTGGGAACCCAAGAATACATAGATATACACACATACATGCATGCCTATATATATTTATGAACACACATAAACATATTTTTTGTTTATATAAGGTCTATATCTTTATACATACTTAAAAAGAGTAAGTTTCACCTAGTCCTGTTTTCAGTCAGCAGTTCTATAAAACATAGTGCTGCTTACAAGTGGACACAAAAGCTTATTTAATAAATATTTCTAGATCTGATTTAGAGATTGAAATTAAGAACAAGGTACTGTAGTATATAAGTAGAGATTTAAGAATTACTGATATTTGTTGTTTTCAAACTTTAGTATTTAGGTTTCCTTTACTACTTTGTATTTACCTGCAAAGAAGCAAATTCACATTTTCCTGTAACAATTGACAAAACCATTGAGCCCTAAGGCCTTATCTAAAATGGTAAAGGGAACTAAACCTCTTTATTCTTGTGTAACTCATTAACTAACCTCAGAAGATTAGAGATAATGTTTCAATATAAAACAATTCAAGTCCCTCATTAACAGGGCTAGACGTCCTTTGATCTAATTACTTCATGTCCCAGATATATGGGAAATTCAGAGATCAGCTCTGAGAAATCTCTGCAGACACGGTCACATCTAGAAACATGAACTTAACATATAAGCTCCAGAAATGTTATTTAACGTTAACAAGCCTCATTTGGTCATCTGGTAATGCTTGGTCAAATGTTCAATGAAATCATGTTGATGATAGCTAGAGAATGAAGATGAAGCTATTTACTGAGTATTCTCCATTATGATAGGCGACTGGATTGCAAATTTCCGTAATTAAACATGCAGTGCACTGTTCGGATTCTGCTGTAAGGTTTGATAATTGCTGTTGTAGGGGAAAGCAGTACAGCAGGGTGTTGCTGTCACATGACAAGTTTTTCAGGCTGAGCTAACAGGATGCCCTTTTAAAATGTTCTTCATGTTTTCTGGTTTAGAGGCAGGGGATATCATCATGGAGATTTCGTCAAAAGAAAATACACAGTTTTTCTCAAACAACGTAATCCTGCCAGCTGACCGATCTTCATTCAAATCTGAATCTTCTGCTTCTAAGGAAAAACAATCATGTTGTGGAGGCATAAAGGTAGAGTAAGAGTTTTGAATATTCTGCTAGGGACTTAGAAGACCTCTTTTTTGGTGAACTAACCCTTTCTCAGTTCTAATTTTGTGTTGTTGAGTCAATATGAAATTATTCAAGATATTTCTAAGTCACAAAAAAGTCTGCTTCTGTTCTGTATTTGCCTAATGTTTGGCAATGTTCAGATAGGACCTGTTGATTCAGGATGGCGTATTGTAAGATCTTCAAGGGTCATCCTGAAAGGTTAATACATCCTCTTTATTGCATTGCCCAATTTTCCAGAGGTTAAGAGCAGAAGGTGAGAAGCCAGGTACCACAGTCAGCCGTTAGTAAGTACTGCTTTTTTAAAATTGTAGCCATGGCAGCCTTCTGGGTTCTGTAAAATAATGCTCATATTACTGCCTGCATGTTTTGAGTGGTATATCATTTAAGTATCATTGTAAGGTTTGTACTCTGAGCAAAAGCGACATGAGAGGACTTTGAAAACAGACTCTGAAAGTCTGTGAAAGTTCATGGCTGTGTTTGCATTTCTCTCACCACCCCCCCCCGCCCAAAGTGTGTCCTCTGGGCAGAGGAAGCACCCTGCTTTGAGCCTTTACCTGCCTGATGGCACGAGCATCGCGCCTGGGAGGAGCAATCCTTCTGGAAAGCCTTTCGGGGACACGGGGGATGGACAGCAGTACGGTGCTTTGCCTACAGCCTCTATCAGTGATCTACAGCTGAGGCTCTTGTATGAGGGCTCAGTAAATCCCCCTACAAATGTGAGCTGAGTTCACCCAAGGTATTGGAAACTGAATCTTCAATCTTGCCCAATTCTTTTAATCTTGCACGTTCTTTATTTCTGTTGTTTTTTTACGCTAAGCAAAATCAAACAAATCTTCCTTCAGAGACTGACACAGATCCCAAGAGAGTCACAGATTTCTGTGACAGTAGAACTGAACTCTATAAACTATGCAGAGCCGTTAAGATCTTGTTGGATTAATTAAGATAACTGCTTTAAAAATGCATAAATTCCTGCATATTTCTGTGGTCTTGCTCTGCGAAGGTCCAGAACTGGGATCCTGTTTTGAAATAAAAGATGAGTTATATTAATTAAATTGGTAGCATAATAGCAATTCTATCTTTGTTCCTCCATTTGATTCAACAATAATTCAATTCCCTCATTGAATAAACCTTCAGTCACAGATTAACCAGTCAGGAATCAGCTTACTAGCTCCAAAAATAGAAGAGCAATAATATCAAAGCTCAGTTTTCCATGTTCAAGAAATTTGTGGCTTCTGCAAACTAAACTGACATGATTAACCTTTAGAACACCAAAACAATGTAGAGGTTCAGGAGGTTGGCTTTTCATTAGTTACCAGCCTTCCCATGCATTAAAATTGTCTTTGTTGACCAAAAAGTATGTACAGTCAGTAACAAACCACAGAAGAATATGAAATCGTGTGCACCTGTCTACCACACCTCTAAATTAGGAGCATTTTTTTCCACCGTAGTATACAGTCTCCATCTCCCTCCTGGGATAGTTCCAAACCGAGAGGAAAAATCCATGCCAAAGGAAGAGAAGTTGCAAGTGCCATTTCAATTATGTAATTTTCCTGTGGAAAAAGAATACCTGTTTTACCATTGCTGTTTAAAACTGAGGGGCATAAGCACACAAAAAGTGTAAAAAGATTATATCAATCTTTTTCCTAGAGATGTTTTTGAGAACCCTAACAGTGGGAAATAAGAATGACGTATCGTTTATTTACCCACAGGCTTTTCTGAAAGAGATACTGCTTAATAACAGTGCTCAAAAAAGAAAAGTATGTATGTTGAAAACGACACAGATATTTTTGAACCTTGGCATAGGAATTTGCATTAAACATTGATATCGGAGTTGGTACTAATTTTTCTTATCAAATGTGATGTTTTAAGGATGTTGTGCTTGGACATGGGGCAGACTTGTTCAGAGCTCTTATTGCAAGACTGATTGCCCAGAGAGCAGTCCTGAAGGATAGGACAGGGGTCTAGACCTCTCCACATATCGAATGTTGCTGTGTCTTTTTATTTCTGGTTTTGATTGTTTGATATTTTTTTACACCTTTCACAAAGTGCATTATATATTCAGTCAACACAGCCTGTCTTTGAAGATAGAAAGCACTGTTGCAGTTCGCATTACAGATTGCGCTGTCTGAGTATTTCTGCAGTTAGTAAACATGGTAAGGCTGTATTTACATTAGGAAATAGCTCTGTCAGAGTGAAATAGTTGGTGCTAAGGACCCAGCAGTCAGTCTGTATGCACTTCAGGGCAAAGCGTTACTTCACATTCGTTCTAGCCTTGCCTCAGAGACTGAACACCCGTTACCTGTTAAAGTGATTAAATGCACTTCTGGAGCATATCTTCCACTTTAATTTCGTGTGAAAGAACTTTGGTTTGCATGTTTGTAGCGTGAACCAAAGTGCAGCGGAGGGCCTGGGAGTTTCACTTCCAAGGCACGCTCCTCATTCAGCCTAATGCACAAAAGACAATGTGAAAGTACTTCAGTGCAAATAACTGCCTCTGCAAAGCAAAGGATGAGAGAAGGTTCCCCACCTGCAAGATGCACTATACACTCATAAGAAAGTGCAGACACTAGAGCTGACAAGAGCTTTGATGGGGAGAGGACAGTTACAGAAGAGAATTATCTAATAGGTGGTTGCGAGGCCCAAGGAGACATGTAACAAGAGGCAGCAACATCTACCTCTTGCTCAGTGTTTAACATCCAGTTCTACTCCGCAAGTTCATCCAGCTGAAGGCTCTCTTGTACAGATACCTTACTACCACCCTGGGCTTCGGTGGGGACATCTTACCAGAACAAGACTCTAAAATCCAGCTGGTTGTTAGATACCCTGGTAAAATGAGCGAAAATACACATTTTTGGTCAGATTCCTACTAAGCAAAAGCCTAAATTAAAAAAATACCCATATACCCACACTTAAAATGTACCTTTACTGTTGTTGTTGTAAGATACCCTCCATTAGAGGGATCGGGAGGCTGCTGTATTTATCTGCCCTTCAAGGCATCAATTGCTTTGGCATCTATGAAAAATTAGCACAAGTACTGGTCACTAGCAAGTTCCGTCTGTGTTGTTATTGCTCATAGCAAACACATACATTGGCAGTCTAGCATATTTCACAAAAAGTAGGAGAAATATTGACACAGTTATTTGGGAAAAGAAGAGTTAGGAATGTAAGAAATATTTTAAATTGTTAATTAAGTAAAGCTTTCTGTACTGCCTGATTATAATCACTGTCACTTTTTTTCACAGATATTTATTGGTGCATTATCTTTTGTTTATTTTGCAAAAGCACTGTCAGGAAGTTATCTAAAAAGTACTATCACACAAATAGAAAGAAGATTTGATATCCCTTCCTCTTTGGTTGGCGTTATTGATGGCAGTTTTGAAATTGGTATGTGCTGCAGAAACCCCTTTTTGTTTTCAGAAAAAAAAAGTGATATGGTTTGTTTGTAAGAATGTATCTCTCTGGCCCATTAACACTAAGTGAAATTCACCTAGTAGTGGTCAACGTGACTTAATATACTTACATTGGCTAAGATGGGGCTGCTGACGCAAACAATTCAACATATTCCTAAATGCTCTATGATAAAGACCATGGTAGTGATCAACATCTTTATGTGTGGTTCTGATTGGCACTGTTTCTCAGAACCTGCAAAGACAGGAATTTCATTATAAAAACAGTAGTTGCCGCAGCATAGACTATTTCCATTTTACTCCCCAATAAGTAAAAATTTTAACATTTGATATGAACTGAAGGATCGTTTCACCCATTCAGTTAGTTACATGATTTGATAAGCCCAGCTGTTGGCTAGCCCAGCCAGAACTTCATGTCATGAAGTTTAATAATACAAATTTTACCTGTAGAATAATAATTTACCTGCACAGATTTCAAATTTTTCTCTGCTTTTATCAGCAGTCCTGCTTACCCATAAGTATTTGTCCAAGTCTCACCAATGTATCTTCATGCTTTGGTAAGCAGCAAGAGTACAAATCTCTAAGTACAATCTACCTGCATTTTCCAGTCCATTCATGTCACTCTTACACTAAGGTTTCCAGTTTAACATTACCTCTGGCTATTTCAAATTACTGATTTTTCTCTTGGTTGTTCAGTGCACAGTGGTATTCATGGGAATGAAATCTCAGCTTCAGTATATAAAATTCTGTTTAATTCCTTCTTTTCTTGCTTTCCTGGATATTTCTTTTCTTCTGCTACAGGCTATCATCTGGTATAGTCCTTCTCTTTCCCACCACTTTTCCAAAAGCTTAAGGTTTTCTTATCAGGAAAGGTGTTGGGCTCCCATAAGAATGCCTGGAAATGGGGAAACAAACCAACCCCATGTGGTCAGTCATCTCCCCCTTGAAACTGCTGCATATACTACATGCTAGGGATCTTTATTTTAGAGCTTAGATCTCTTATCAACAGGTCGTAAATCTCAGTTTTCTTTTGTACTTTCAAAGGGAACCTCCTAATCATAATTCTTGTAAGCTACTTCGGAGCGAAGCTTCACAGGCCAAGGATAATTGGTGCAGGCTGCTTAATTATGTCAGCTGGAACATTCCTAATTGCGATGCCCCAGTTCTTCATGGGACGGTAAGTGCACAGTGATCTGCATTCTCCAGCTGGGAGCACAGTGGATGTTAGCTCATTAAAATATTTAGGGATTGATTGTGACTAGGCCAGTTGAAATAGGCCTATGTTGATGTGGGTACTCAACTTCATATTTGTTATGAAAGGACTTCTTTTATTACTGCAAAGTAAGTAATTTAATGTATACCCTATCCACAGTTGTAATTGACTTATCAATCTGAGATCTTGATCAGCCTGTTTTTGATATAGTTTGAGCATCATAAAAGCCTCAGTGGTGATGCAATAAAAAAAGCGAGGAAGACAATCTGAGTATTAGGCACAAACTATAGTGTACACCAACTTTCTGATAACATGCACTAGTGTAGATTTATGTATCGTAGTAGAGGAAAGAGCTTGTTAAATTGAAATGTATCACTGTGACAGAGAGAGATTTGAAGGAACCATTTTCATATAGTATCACAGTATAAACTGGGTTCCATCTATGCCCTGCAAACCACACAGATCATGGGCAACATTATAATGGGATGCAAATGAAATCTGCATTTAAGTGCTTTGGGCCTATCTTCCACGGTAGCAATAGTTTTGTTTGTTATTTTTTCTTATAAGTTGGGAGGGTAAAGACAATTCTGTTTTTTAAACAGATATAGGTATGAAAGATTTCCTTCCATCATCAATTCAACGGGTAGCCTCTCCCCATGTCTACAGGAAAAAAGCCAGATTCCACTCTCAGCCTGGGAAAAATCTCAAGCTAAAATAAATGGAGGTAAGAACAATCCCTTTTAAATGCTGTGCTGATAAGCACACTAAAATACATGAAAAGGCTCCCAAATTCTAATGTACTAGTTTATTAGGATGTAAAAATAATAAATGGGAATCAGGCACATCTTTCTGCCAGATGTGCTGGCTGAGACAGATTTATTAAGAAAGATTTGAAAACCATTCTGCCCACTGCTAAGAGATGTCTTTTCAGGCTGGGGCCTTTCCTCCAGCCTTGCTATCTGCTCCAGCAGCTTTCTGCAGCTTCATGGCTTGTAGAAATGCCAGGTAGTCTCTCCTGGGGACCTAGGAAAGTCACCGCTTCCCTCTACTGCGAAATGTGTGAGCTAGGCGTGATTGGTAGTGCTGTCTATCCTCCATGTTTCCCAAATCTTTTCTTTAGGATTAATTGGTTAGGATCAATTTTGGTCAGAAACAGGTGAAAACAGTTTTACGTGGGCTGTAGCAGCAAATTTATAAAACTGGCCAATGTCTAATATCTTTTCATGATAAACATGTGTCTACCTCAAGCTGTTCAGCTTAAAATTTCCACCCGCATGCCCACCAAACCTTTCCTCACAGTTCAAAGTACAGTGTTTGCTCACTTTAGAAGTATTTTACTCACCTTCTTTTAGTTCTGTGCACTTAGTGTCAAAATGTTATGGAAAACATGTTTCTATCTCTGTCCTGATGTATCCAGGATGTGAAAAAGAAGTTGGCTCATCCATGTGGATCTATGTTTTACTGGGAAATCTCTTGCGTGGAATAGGCGAAACGCCTATCCAGCCTTTAGGAATTGCATACATTGATGATTATGCCATTGAAGAGAATGCTGCCTTATATATTGGTAAAATAAATAAATTATTTTTCTCTAATGGATTTTTCCCTGGTGGAAACTGAGTCATTCTGAATAATGGAATGAGAGTTATTGAACTAACTTACCCTGACTGTTTTGTTTGCATCCTTTCCAATATTAAAGTTTTATTTAACAATCATGTAAGCTCAAAGGACCGAGTTCCTCTTTAATTGTACCAGTGTAGTTCCATTATCTTAATTTGAGAAAAGAATTTGACCTTAGGCTCCTGCTGTTACCTTAATCTTCCTAATTCTTCTGGATGTGGACTATTTAGCTTCTGTGCACAGTTAATTCTCTGGCAAGTGATAAAAATGTGTACTTTTTAAGCACTTAAAATAGAATTTCAGGAAATTCTTAAAACTTCCCCTCCAGATTCAGGTAGAATTGTAACAAATAGTTCTGAGGCTTGAAAAGTCGGGATCACTGTTTTCTTGTGTTCATTGTGTGAAGAGCTCTGTCCCTTCATGTGAAATATTACCAAAAAGTCCTGCCCTGTCAGCATCCTTTTTTGACGTGTTTCCAGCCTGGCAAAAAACAGAATCCCTGTATAAAAGACTCGTTCCTGCCAGATTTTCAGATCAGTCCTGAAAACTCAAAATATGTGGCAAGTTTGGCTTAGGGTCTATTGAAATAAATATTGGGCACCAAATCACAGTGATTGTTCAGCCTATTCAAGGTCCACTACAATTTCCATTACTGAGATAATTTCAGTAATTGATATTTGCTTTCCAGTTACTTCAATATAGTCAGCAAAACAGTTTATATCAATTATAGAATGGTACTAATATTGAGTTTAGGCCATTAAGTTCCTTGAATTTCTTTTCTTTGGGCTGAATTTCATTCTTTAATTGTATGATAACCAAAACAAAAAAGTATCAATGTAGGGGGGAAAATTTTATTGTTGTTTTCTTCTTGCGGAAGTGCTAACTTGAGTAATTAACTGTGCCAGAAAGCAAAGGTTGACTCAGTATATAAAGATTGTATCACTTGTTTCCTTTCCAATGTCATACTTTGTTCTTATGTATAGCAAGAACCAATGCTCATTTTCACTTAGAAACATAACAGTCCCCTGTTTTCTATTACAGGCTGTGTACAGACAGTTGCAATCATAGGCCCAATATTTGGCTTTCTTCTAGGATCCCTGTGTGCCAAACTTTATGTTGACATTGGCTTTGTAGATCTGGGTAAGTCAGAAAACTTAGGTTTAAAAATTCAGTCAGGCTCCAATATGTCTATTTTAGGCATGTATTTTAGGCCAAGAACTATCTAGTTCCAGTATCTCTCCTAAGGATAAGAGGCTAATAGAGTAGAGCTGGCACTTTAGGAGATAAACATGATGACAGCAGTGCAGTGCCTCATGCGAAAAAGCCTAACAACAAGAACAGCTGTGGAGGAAATAAAGAGGCTTGACTCTTCCTCAGTCCCGGCAGATCCTGCCTCGCAGGAGATCATCTGGTGAGGAGGCACTAGGGAGGCAGCAGGTACCAGAAGGAGGCAGACCTAAGGCTCAGTATCCTGCTAAGAGCTGGACATGTGAATTTTGGATTACACTGTCATTGAATAGAAAACCAGTGCTGAAGATGGTACCAGAGTTCCTAATTTCCTTCCTCCCAAGAAAACACCTTCCACTCTGGTTTCTGGCTGGCTCCGCAGCTTCTGTGCAGAACAGCCCAGCTGGGAGCAGGGTGCGACCACCTGCAGTACCCACCTTGAGTGCATCCTCTCCGTGGATGTGTGCACGGTATGCTCTGGGCCCCCCGCAGTGTCAGGGAGAGTCCACTGCTGTCCCTAGGGATCAGCAAGTCCTTATCACCTCCCCTGAGTTGCTCTTGTAACACTGGTAGATACACCTGACACAGATAAATCTAGACTGAGAGAGGACTCTCCTGGAGAAAGTCCCTGCAGAAATCACCTTCATTGTTATCAGCAAACATTCCCTAAAACCTTTGTTTTTTTCCTCTCCTTTTTGACTTTTTCCAGACAGCATAACAATAACTCACAACGATGTGCAGTGGGTGGGAGCTTGGTGGCTGGGTTACTTAATAGCAGGTGTGATTAGTGTTCTGGCTGGCATCCCATTTTGGTTCCTGCCCAAGCACCTACCAAAACCCGAAAGCAGAAAGGACTCCAGTACCTCTTCTGAGCAGTCAAAGTTCATCACTGAGGATAACATGGAGCGACAGAAATCTTATCAGCAGCATGTGAAGTTTGCTGAGATGGCAAAAGGCAAGTCACTAGAGTTTGTTTCCTCACTGTTGAGACTCTCTGTTTAATGGCCTCAGTTCACCCCCCTCCCCAAATGTAACTTTCCAGCTAACTAGTATGCACAACTCTAGGGAACAATTTCATTGTTCCCTAGACCTTCTCTTTGCAGGCAGAATTTCTCCAGCTGAGGTTTGTAAAATTATGCTAGTGGCCCAACAATTATCACGAAACCCTGCAAAAGCGTTTCCTTTGCAGTTCTTGGTTGTTGCAGGAGTGGAAGTCAAATAGTGATCACCTGTGATAGCAGTTCCTAAACCACCTTTTTCTGCGTGCTCAAATTCCTTTTTCTTTAAGATCATCCGTTTTAGTAAAATACATACAAAAGCTGATCAGAATAAGAATGAGCATGGACCACATACAGTATGTTAGCTAGCTATCTGGATTTTAGCACCAGCAGTTTTGCGCAATTGTATTTCCTTGGCTCTACCTTGTCAAAAGTGTTTTTCCTCAAAATTTGAATCTGCAGCTCAACATGCTTGTGCTTACCTTCAGCTATGCTGAGCACCCTCCCATCCCAATAAAGCTAAAAGGAGCTGTGGCTGTTGAGGACCCAAAGAAGCCAACTCAGACCTGTTTAATGATGAAAGGAAAGTACCTAAAACAAGATTGCTCTCCTAGAAAGCTGTTGTTTAGTAATTTGTTCCACCGTGCCCCCATGCAGAAATGTAGTTCCTAAGAGCATCATGGGACTTCATTTATTCCTTCTGAAAGATCCTGCAGTCTTCTTTTGGAAGGCACAATCATGTTAAAAAACATTGCTCTCAGAAGTTATTCTCTCTGACATGGTTGTTGTTTCCATTATTTTATTTTGCAGATTTCTTGCCATCACTGAAGAACCTTTTTGGAAATCCAGTTTATGTTCTGTATTTGTGTGCAAGTATCATTCAGTTCAATTCTTTAATTGGCATGGTGACATATAAGCCAAAATATATTGAACAGCAGTATGGGCAAACGTCTTCAAAAACGAATTTTGTTATAGGTATGCTATATCTGCTTCTTGATAACTTAAAAACTGACATTTTAGGAGTGACCTATACATATGGGGAAAACTGTTTCTTAGGCTATGCTTATTTGTCCTCCTTCCTTGCCTGGCTTTTAAGTAGTATCTTGTAGAAGATAAGTTATTTCATTTCTGCTTTAGCAATAATTAGTTCTGAGGTTATCTACGCACGTCTTACTACAAAAGGTTGCACAGTTTGATACTTTATTTCCCTTTCTACTGGGAATTTGAAAAATAATGTATATACATCACAAGATAATAGTTGAAAAGAGGATTACTTTTAAAATATTTTACATGAATTTGTCATCAGACAGATCTATTCCCTTTCTGGCTTCCCATTTATTTCAATGAAATGAAGATCAGCTCATTGAGTGCTAGAGGACTGACCATAAATTAGCTGTGATATTGCCAGTGATTTCTCATTTTTTTGAAGAGGTTGGTGTTAAATAAAGGGAAGTCAAAGTCATATCAGTGGTCATATAACATGTGAATTAAAAACTTAAGCTTATCTCAGTGCGATGCTAGTGAAAGAAAATCACATATTTCTGCCTTAACTGTGCTGCTTACTTAAGAGCTTTTCTCAGTTATGAAGTTAGTCTCCTTAGCCCCCGTATAACACAAGAGAGACAGGAAGAAACTATCTTTCTGCTGGACCACAGGGCCAGCTTTGGGAGTCTGGCCTCCCCTCTTCCTGTGCCTAAAATCAGAAGCTGTGGAGATGGTCATTTTTGGAGACACGCTCAGGATGGTGAACTTCACTGCCCGGCTATTGAAACAGGAGGCTTGAATTCAGTTTTTGAGGTCCAATGATTCAAAAGCATCAGAGGGCAAAGAGGTTTACATCTGCCTTGTTTCAGAGCTCTCAAGACAGCATTAGTTGCGCAGCAACGGAGGTGTGTATGAGCAGAAAAGCTGTAGTGAGCCATTGTGCTATGTTAATTCCTTAAAGATAGAGGCTGGAATTTGCTGGCACAAAACTCCCAAAAGAAAGGAGAAATCTTCAGTCGTAGTTGATGGCCAGGGAAAGTCCAGAAAACAATCCCTACATTCAGTACAGTACTTTTCATTGTATTCACAGATTTTCTGGAGCTAAGCTTTTAGCTATATGCGAACTGATTGAGGATTAAGATCCATCTGATTTGACGGGGCACCTATATTCAGCAGAGAGTGTATGATGGCTAGGCTAGGAAAGGACTCTGGCTTAGGAGCTATCCCTGCAGGAAGTTCCCTTCCTCCCTTTGCTTTCTCTCTCGATCTGCTGTCTCCTTTTCTCCACTAAGGACCTGAGGGCTCGGTAGAACTAACAATATCTATCTCCCTTTCCCTTCCCCTCCTTCTTTTTTTTTTCTTAGCAATCTCTGTCTCAGTCTCTTTGATAGATATTAGAATTGTCTGGGCAATTTGAAGCACTGTAACCAAAAACAGTTGGAGCCTGTAAGAGGGTATTTTTTCAGTAGCCACAAACCAAGAAATATACAAGAAAGGAAATGGTGGCTTCTGTGTTTGTATGGCTTTTTTTAAAATATACATGCAATATTTTTCCCATGATGCCAAGGTCAAGCAAAAAAGTTAGCAGTAAGAACACAAGAAGTACATATGAGACACAGAAGTATCTATGAATGGGCAAGTGGAAGGTGTTTAGTGCCTGGTGTATCACACAGCTCCCAGTTTCCACTCCAGTCTTACCTGGCAATCAGAAGAGAACAGGAAAATGTGCGTGTTGAAAGGGTTTGCGCAGGGCACCCACGTGGGATCGTGTAAGGACTCTCTCTTTACCTATGCTGTATTTGAGATACCACCTCTGAAATCTCCCGAAACACAGTTTTCACATGTGCTTAGGATGATCAAATGCCATCCCACTGAAGCTTCCTGAACACCAGCAGTAACAGGATTAGGCCCAAAAGGAGCACGTTTGACAGCTGTGTTTAATAAACTCTCTCTTGATATGCTGGTGGCAAAAATGAGATTATCTTGTTTTATACCTTTTGGCTCAGAATAAGATATGTTTTATAGCGTTATCATTACATGTCTCTTCTGGAAGAAATGATTTCCTATAGAGCCTCTTAATCATGTAGAGTAACGGACAAATGCAAATCAAGTATCTCACGGCAATCTTTAAGTCAGCAGTACTTGCAGTATTCATTTGAGCAAGGTATGGCATTGAAATGAAGGTGAAGGCACTGGTCTGTGTCTACACAGGAAATCTCAGAGTAGTCTGGATTTTTATAAAATAGTTCCTGGAAAAGATACTTACCTCTGTTTTTACTGGATAGAATAAGGCTATTTTTAACAAAAACATGCCTTCTAGCATCTATGCTAATCACTGCTTTCTCCCATGCATACAGGTGGATACAATTTGACTCAGTTTAAGGGGTCCCTTAAGGGTGTATTTCTTGGCAGAAAGATTAAATTCCAATGTTGTGAACTCATATTTGAAATTAAGTCATTTAAAATCATGTTTTAATGCCACCATACCCCTGAATAAACATCCAAAATATCATCTATTGTATGAATGCACATATACTTTTGTACTTGCTTTTGTTTTATACACTCAAATCAGTACCACTAGGTGTCAGCATTAATTAAAAGCCGCAGAATGCATAGTCCTGTGAAAATGGGAAATTTCATATGCTAAAACTGGATGGTAAAGCTAGGAAAATCATTTTCAGTAAGAATGAAATCCAGCAAAGGGCACTATACTCGATTGTGCAGTATCTTTTACAGTGGCCTCTCTTTACATCTTTTTTGTATGTACTAAACAGGATTTTTTTGGTCTTGATGTCCATGTCTATCAGTATGGACACTGCTCTGAGCAGAGCCGTGCAGGTAAGGATTAACGGTCACCCAATCTTATGTGTTACCTTCACTGCTCTTCCAGCGGGTTGCTTGAAGTCTGGTAGAAGAGCGG